TGGTCCAGGGCTATGGACTGGGGACTACCCATCCCACTCAGTTCAACACAATGACCTGGGACCTTGGAAGCCCCCAGCCCTGCTCTGCCCCCTCTCTGCTACTTGGTGCAGCTAGGTGGTGCTGCTCTGGGGAACAGGTGCGAAGGTCACAGCCCTTAGCACATACTTGCTCTGCCTGAGTCTTTCCTCTGAGCCTCCTTAACAACTGGACCTGCCCACCACTCTCAGGAGCCCTGGCAGCCCTCGGACTGCCTGGCTATTGGGGTGTTCTCTGCCAGACTGCAGGAGGAAGCATGAGGAAGAGCTTAACCCACTGCATTCCCAGAGTTTTCTCCTGGAGTTATTCTTCCATTCCCACCCATGAACCCAGACACTGCAGTGGGAAGTAAGCAGGGCTGGTTCTGTCAACCAGGGTGAAAATGGGAACCTGACCACAGCCTGAAATGCTGACTGGCTGCTCCTGAAAATCCTGGTTGCCTCCACAGGACCCCCACAAAAGGCACCAAAACTCTGGAGTCCCACCACTGCCCTGCCCACACCCAGGGTAGGGATGGAATTGAACTGTCAAATCTAGGCTAAGGAAGCCTGCTCGGGCTAGGCTGGCAGGGCAAATCCTGAGGCCCCACCAGAAGCCCCGGACACCATCCATGACATGGGGCTGAAGGAGCAGGAGATGACAACAGGTGAGCCCTTCACAAGTGTTCTGTGGGGAGCTGGCAGAGGGACATGGGGGCTCCTGGGAGGAGCCAAGGACAGTCTCCTGCAGGAAGCCCCTTTATGGCTTTTCAGTTAATTTGGACGGTGGGAGGAAGGGGCACACCATACACATACATAGGACATGGAAGCTACTGGGATGCCAGACACCAGGCTCGACACCGTACCACGCCCAAGGGGTGGCTCTGCAGACACATGCTGCAGTGAGCCTCAGGGCAACAGGGTCCTCCAGCATCTCCCATGGCAGGGCTGGCACCAGAGCCAGGACCAAGTCCTGCCCTCTGAAGGCTCTGGTGGGAGATTCCTGATGGGGGAGATGCAAGGTGGGGCTGGGGGACAAAGACTTTACATGACATAAAATTGAACGAGCAGCCTCACCCAGTTGTGTTGGGGGAATCGAGGGACTCTCAGCATTGCCATGCGGCTATTTACAAAAAGTTATAGACATGCATCTTGATTAAACAAGATTCTGTTCATACGCTTATAGATAACTATCTTATATATAACTAAACGCGCATGGAGGTGGGCAGACAAGGCTCAAATGGCTTTGGAAGGTTCTTGTTTTGTTGTTGCTTAAAAAATAAAGTATATTCATATGTCTTCAAGTCACAGTGTCCCCTTCTCAATATTGCAGCTCAGAAAACAGGTTAAGTCAAATAAATCCTTGGTGGCCAGTTCTCTGGCCCCCTGGGACTAAGGGGGGGAGGGGAAGGGAGAAAAGTGATCATATAGGATAGGGTTGCCAGACACAGTACAGGGTGGCCAATTACATTAGAATTGCAGATAAACAATGAATTGCTTTGTAGTATAGTATAACCCCAATACTGCCTAGGACAGAACTTACACTTAAAAATTAAGTTGTCGTCTTTCTGAAATTCCAATCCTGGCCATCCTGTATTTTATTCACCAAATCTGGCCACTGTATCATGGGGCTCTAGGCCACCAGGATCAGAACTTGGGATTCCTCCCTGCCTGGTACCACCCAAGGCTCTGAGAAAGGGCCCCAACCAACCTGAGGTGACAAGGGGGAAAGGGAAAGGAGAGAAGGGGTAAAGCAGAAGATATGGGGGCAGCTCCTGGCTCAAGTAATCTCTTCCTACCTTTGACGGGGAGGGACACCCTCAGGGACAGGGTCTCTTTATACAAGGGTGGACTCAGATGCCTCAAAAATTAGTCTAGGACATTGAAGAAACACAGGCTCTCTCACTCCCTGACCTCAGGGGAGGTGTGTCACCCTCTCTGCCATCACCCATCCACCTCCACCCTGCTGTGTGGAGGCAGGTTTGTAGGACAGCCGGGTTTACTAACAAGAAGGCTGCAGTGACCCCTCTGCTCCCTCTCACACTGATTCTGCAGAGAGAACTTCTATATGGTTTCCTGGGGAGAAAAAGATTGATCTGAAACTGTGACTTAACCCCTGCTATCTCATCCTCCAGCTTAGGGACTCTGGGAAAGTCACTTCTCGTTCATGCCAAGTACCTGCTCACTGTCTGGGGCTGCCCAAGTGTTTTTTACCCTGCCTCCCCTAGGCCTTCCAAAGTCCAAAAACCTGCCTGTGGCTCTGGCAGAGTTAATTTCCTTTCCAGTGATTATTCAGGGAAAAAGGAGAAACAGAGCTTTGAAGCCTCACTCTAGTTTCTGGATAGAATTGGATTTGGTTTTTCATGGTCTTAGACTCTCATGAAAATATCACCTCTATCCTACTTTTCTCTGGAACAGACTTGGGGATAAAAACTCAGCCCCAGAAGCATCCAGAACCCCTCACTAGCCAGACTCCCTGACTCTATCCTACTTAGTGCCTATATCACAGTACACTAACATCCCCAGAAATGAATCCAAATGGCAGTGAGAGACTGGAATGATGCTCTGTGGTTTGGGTTACATCGGCCAAAAAACTTACAAGCATAAGCGAGCCTAGCGCATGGACCCAAACAGATACCTTCTGCTAGTGTGGCTCATCGGGACCAGGCAGGACCTGGGAAGGAAGTGCTGCTCACACCCACACTGGCTCCACACTGCTGCCAAGACTCAAGCTGTTCAGCAACCTGCCCCCAACCTCAAGGTGACTCACTAGCAGGCTCAGAGTAATAAAATCCAGCCCCTCCCTCCAGGCAAATGGACACCCAAACCACCAGAGATGGCTGCCATTTCTTTCCTTCCCTATCAGGGATTTGGTGAATCTTGGGCTCTGGAAGGGCTGAATGAGGTTCATGGGAAGAGAAGAGTCCCAGGTGGTAAAAGGTGGATTGGGGAAAGGCAAGCGAATGAAGGCAGAGGGATGAGATTGACAGTTCTTTCCATGAAAGGTTTATAGGATATGGGTGACGAGAATGAATGTAGGGAGAGACCCTGAGAAGTCTACAAAATTCCACAGCTCTGGAGATGTGAGAAGAATCCAATGACTTTTTTTTTTTTTTTTTTTT